CGGGCGAAGTGGCTGCATTGCATGCAGGGGAAGAAGGCAGGGTGATGGACAAAGAGAAGGAAGTGGAGGAAGGAGACACAGGGGAGGAATTGGAGGAAAGAAGGGATGAAGGGGAGGAAGAAGAGGATGAAGGAGAGGAAGGGGAAGAAACGGAGTTGGCTGGGTTGCTAGGAGGGCAGGAGGGGGGAAAAGGTGAACTCGATACAGGAGACGATGAACGGACTTTCGGCGACGATGACAGATCAAGGGAGTCTTCTGACGGATTCGGGCAGCTGTACGGAGAACACCGCGAGGAAGACGAGGACGATGATGACACGGCACTGGGTATGGAGACACAGGTGGTCACAAGCCTTTCGGCAGAACGTGATGACTATGACGTCCAAGCAATGACGTCTGCTGTCGATCTCCAACACCGGTTCAACGAAGCTCGTGTAGCAGTCAGCCTGACTAAACCGAGTGTGCATATTGACATCGAAGAAGTTATCGACGGCATCTTGGGCGACCACCAAATGTCCGCGCAACCGTCCTCGACGCCTGGTGTCAACGACCCTCTCGACGTCAAACCTTTCGGGGGATCTGTCGTCGATTTCTCGCCAACGAGCTCTCCGATGCTGCCGCCAACCATTGCCAGCGGAGGAGAACGCGGGATCGGGGGACGACAAGATGTCACATCCCCGAAAAAAATTATCGCCGACACTCGAGCTCTCGACTTGCTGGCCTTGCCCGCGCCAACTTCGCCGATTAAGGAGCGGAGAGACAAACCAGCTGGTAAGCAGTGACAAACGCCACTCTGTCTGCGCGCCAGTGACCGCAGTGTCTGTCAATGCACACGAGATAAAAACATGTGTGTTTTTGTTGAAGCGTTCCCTCACATAATGGAAGGATGGTGTTTCTCTTTCGGAATGAGTGGTGGTTTTAGTCCGCCGGCATCCGCAGTGCCAAGGCCGCTGCGTAACGTGGTTACTCTTCTGGTGCCTCGATTGGGAAAAGTCCGCCGGGATCCTGACTTCACGAATGTTTGGCCTCCGGGTTTGTGGCTTGTTGAGGTTTTCCCTTCTGAAGGGCGGGGGTGTCGAGGTCGAACGCACTGCTCTTTTTGTTTTCCAGCGGGGCCTGCGCGGAAGTGTTCTCTATCTCTCTCATGGCTAAACGGGGCTCTGTAAATAGATAGGTCCTGCGTCTTCTACATTTCGTGGTTCTTGAGTTGTCGTTTTCGTCGGGTTCGTCTTGGATTACGTGAGTTCATTTTCCGTTTTCTCTTCCTTCGGTTGCACAGGGGTTGGGTCATCTCCCTGGGTTGGAAAAGTCCGCCGGGATCCGGACTTCAGAGATGTTTGCCTTCCGCTTCTGTGACTTGATGTGCTTTTCCCTTCTGAAGGGCGGGGGTGTCGAGCTCGAGTGCACTGCTCGTTTTTTGTTTTGCAACGTGGCTCGTGCAGAAGTTCTCTCTCTCGCACTCTCATGGCATGACGGGGTTTTGTAATTGCATGGGTCCTGCGTCTTTTAGATTTTGTGGTCCTTCAATTGTCGTTTCGTCAGGTTCTTCTTCGGAAACGTGTATTCACTTTCCGTTTTGTCTTTCTTCTGTTGTACAGGGGTAGGGTCGTCTCGAACACGGAGACCCTCTAAATATCCGGAACACATACTACATATAGTCCCTGGGTTGACGACAAAACACAAGGACATGTTAAAGGCGTCAGGGGTTGATGTCGAAATCGGGAAGAAGGAGCATGCTATTGCCATTGAGGAGTGTCTTTCCCTTCTGGCCCCAAAGAAAGGGACATATCCACGATCTGTGACTAGGGGTCAGGCCATGTATGAGAAATACTTAGCTTCTCGTCGTGCGATGAAGAAGAATCCTTAGTGTTCCGTTTCTCACTTCCCCCCCTGTCCTTCGCTCGATGTTGTGCAGTGCGGGCCACAACACCTGGAACAGCAGTGACTGCGATTGGAAGCTTGCGGGTTTTGGACGATATTGAACGGGGCTTGGTGCCACCTGACACTGTACTCTCGACCCTCCACGATGGTCAGTTGCGAATTGCAGCGAAGGATATTCTCACCCTCTCACTTACCGACGGCAGGGTGAATGATGAGTTGGTCAACTTCTACATGACGCTATTAGGAACGACCGCATATGGGACAAGTGACATCCCGCCAGGCCTTCGAGTCTTCACCTTTAATTCTTTCTTCTTCAGTAAACTGCAACTTCAAGGGCACGGCGGGGTGGAAAGATGGGCTAAAAACGTGGATCTGCTTGAATATGATATTATCTTTGTTCCAGTCCTCAAAGATAATGATCACTGGATCCTCCTTTCCGTGAGCTTGAGAGATAATGTTTTTGAGATTTTCGATTCTTTTCCTTGCGTTGTAACCGATTCTAGTTTTTACCTTAGTGTTTTCGAATTGATCGTACACTATTTGGAATGTGAAACATCACATAGGCACTCGTGCAGGCACTGGAAGTCGGTGGCAGCAAATGTTGTTATAGAGGGAGCTCCAAGACAAGTGGATGGAGTTAGTTGCGGGGTGTTTATATTGATGTTTGCGACACTGTTGCAACGTGGCGATCGACCGCCTTTCAGGTTCTCTTCTAAAAATATTCCGTATATTAGACGACAACTGGCATCATGTGTCTTGGAATGTTGTTGTCTTTGATGGATTCGATTGATTTGCAAACTTCTGTTTCAGAATATTTCATATTTTAACTGTCGCTTTCACAACGACATTACTTTCTTTATGTGTTGCGGGTTTGAGTTGTCTTTGATATGTTGACTGCCAGTTTGGTGTCGCGTATTGCCTTCGGAATCTCTGTCAGGTCCGTCTCGTCTGTCGTGTCATTACATTCATCGCATTGCAGTCCTCGTTGCAAATTGTGTCCAGGTCATCCAAGGTTGTGCATATAATTCACCTCGAAATGATATTCGTGTGTGTGGTGCGACATGGCGAATTGGAGTGTGGATGCAAGACAAATCTCGGCGAGTGTGTGGGTGTGAGGTTCGTTATGCAAAGAGTGAAAGACCAGTAACATCTGGTCTCTTGTGTGCATAGACAATCATGTACTTGTGACCGCTTGAATTACATGTGACCGACAATTTTGCGTTCTTGACCGGGAAAAATAAATTGTATGTCAAAAATAACAGTTACTGTTTGTACTTCTAAAGAAGTCTGAATCTCTACAACATCCAGACAACCGCCTCGAACGAGACGATAGCCATGCATGTACAACTCACGCATAAAAGAAATAAATAGTATTATCCAACAAGGATTCAATCATGACAACTTGCTCATCATATTCACAAACTTGAAGTTTGACAAGTGTGGCTCCCGACACACTATCGCATAGGCATCCCGGATGGGCGTGCCTGTCGCTACTCTACGTCTTCTAATATACAAGGGTTCCCTGATGCGCGTGCCTGTCGTTATTCGTTTATGAAGTTTAACAAGTGCGGATCCCGACACACTTCGGCACAAGATTCACGACACATTTCTGAAGTTCAACTAGTAAGACTCCCAACACACTTCCGCACAAGGTTCCCTGATGGGCGTGCCTGTCGTTATTTGTTTATGAAGTTTAACAAGTACGGATCCCAGCACACTTCCGCACAGGATTCCCAGCAGTGCCATGTTTTTGAAGTTCAGCAAGTAAGGATCCCGGCACACTTCCACACAAGGTTCCCGTACGGCGTGCCTAACATGTACGGGTTTGAACACGCTTCCTCATTTGGGATATCATTTATAAAGTTTCACAAGTATGGATCTCAGCACACTTCTGCATGTGCTTAAGCCGTGGATGGGCGTGCCTACGTTGCTTGGAATGCAGCCAAAAATGAATTCGTTAGAAAGAGGACACAGTATAATGTCCTATTTTAACGAATAATATGTTTTGGCTTCATAGAGCCTCACTCCTCTCGATCGCCTAGTTTATATATATAGATATGGCGATGAGGCAGGCTTCATAGAGCCTCGCTCCTCTCAATCGCCTAATATATGTATATAGATATGGTGATGAGGTTGGCTCAGAGTTCGCAACCAGGATTTTTAGGAATACTTGTAACTAAACTAACCGCACACTTTTCAAAAACCAACCAACCATGACCACTGTATACCTGGCTTACCACACCTTTACCTACCTCCAACTGATCCCGAAAAAAAAAACGGGTACCCGTACCCACCCATACCTGAACCTCCGCGGACTGTAACTSCCCGTACCCGCCCTTGTTTTTTTTTTTTTTTTTTAACCAACCATGGCTAACTGAACCCAAACCGTGTCTTCACCATCCGTACCATACCCAACCGAAATTTTCCTTACTCGTGTTCAGCCGTACCCATCCCCACCTACCCATAATTGTATGCACCTACTCGTAACCGCCCGCACCTGTTACCCACCCTCCCCTAACTGTTCTAACCGCCCCTAAAAACCCCCAACCGACTCCCTCACAACCTTTGGGCTGTGGTCGGGGTCCAGCAGTAATAGTTACTGCAACTGTTGTCGCAACTGCAGCGATAGTCAGATGTGGTGCAGCAGCAGATGCAACCCTCCAGCAACTGCGGAAATGATGTCAATGGAACAACTGCAGCAGATGTGGTGCATTTGTGATGCATCTGCAGATGTGCTGCTGCAGATGTGGTGCATTTGCAACCGCAGCAGCATATGCAACCCCTGCAGCAACTGCGGAAATTATGTCAATGCAACTACTGCAGCAGCATATGCAACCCCTGCAGCAACTGCAAAAAAAAAAAAAAAAAGGAGCTTGCGACTTCAGATGGTGGGAAAGGGCGGGGGGCGAAGGGCTGGGAGGGGGGCAGGTGGGAATACAAGGGGTAGTTAACCACAATTACCCGAGTGGATCCTCTACCTGCCCCCCATTTTTTTTGTCTGCCCCCGTACTTGTCTGTATCGGTTTTAGTTTTATGTTTGGCTGGCCCTACCTGCCCGTGATCTTCATAAATACTAATTGTGCCTACCCGTCATCTCCAGAAAAAACAAATTTGCCTGCCCATAACCAAGCCCCCCTTCCGAAACGGGCACCCAGACCTACCCATGACCTGGCGGTTACAGTTGGGTGCGGTCGGGTACGGGTAACGGTTACCCATTTGCGCTCTCTGGGTTGGCTTCATAGAGGCTCGCTCCTCTTGATCGCCTAGTATATATATATATATATATATGGCGATGAGGCAGGCTTCATAGAGCCTCGCTCCTCTCGATCGCCTAGTTTATATATATATAGATATGGCGATGAGGCAGGCTTCATAGAGCCTCGCTCCTCTCGATCGCCTAGTTCATATATATATAGATATGGTGATGAGGCAGGCTTCATAGAGCCTCGCTCTTCTCGATCGCCTAGTATACATAGATATGGCGATGAGGCAGGCTTCATAGAGCCTCGCTTCTCTCGATCGCCTAGTATATATATAAATATCGACGCCCAGTCCCAGCCTTGAACCATCCGGAAGCCTTTAGGATCACGCAGGTGGGTCACACGGGACTTGCACCTCATGTCCTAAATCCATCCGGCTGATCCTAAGCTGAGTTAGCCTGGACTCTCTTTGTGCATAGATATGGGTTAGTCATTAGGATAATGCTAGTTGAGGCAATCCATCATACCAGAAGGCTTTGTCACTCATAAGTTCGACATCATTCTCATGATCCCCCAACCCATTATCTCATGGTCAGGT